ATATTCCAGTCATCAGCAGAAGCAAGAGCGACAATATCTGCATCATTATCAGAAAAATGGGGTTTTGCATTGTCTTGTTGTACGTAAATTGTTTTCTTTTTGTATGCTGGCGGAAATTTAGATTTAATTGCGAGAATTACATTATCAATGATCATGTTTTTGCAATGTACTGCTCTAACAGATATACGATTTTTTGTTATCTTTCTCTTTAGCCCTATTCTTAGAATTTACTTGAGTTGGTTCTTAATAAACAAATGGCCATATTCCAATTTTCCCATCAAAATGAAGCCTTAGATGTGCATCATAGCGTGCCCGAGCTACTGCAGCCATGAACATTATTTTCGTAAAAAATTACATACTTTTGCAGTTTCTCTCCGGTTTTTCTTCGTTTAACATTAATTTATAAGAGCGCTTAACTTTAGTTAGATAAAACCACTTTTTATTAACGTGAACGTAGTCGTACAAATCATCAAAAAGCAAATCTCCATTATTAGCAAGATTTTCTTTAGACAAGCAAAATTTCAATCTGTCCATTTTATTTTTATCTGTTAAAGTTGGTTTAACTGTAGAAGATATTCTCTTGATATACTTTCCCGACTTGAATATATCAAACAAAGTCTATTTGGAATATCAATTACAAAGTAAAGACTGCGGGGCGTTCCTCGACGATTTAATGGTGTATTCTTTATTTGCGCTAAATTGTTCAAATATTCTTTAGGTTTTCTTCGTCATCTTTTTTTCTTTTTTGAAGAAACATCGGCATATATCTTGCCCTTTCTGTATTAAGTTTGGGCTGCATGCCAAATTCTGCTAAATTTTAGCCGGGAAACTTGAAAGGCAGAAAAAACTTCGTTTGGGGCACCGTGATTTAACTTATTCTCCTTAATCTGCTGTAATAATTTTTCTAGAATACCTTGACGTTGTTCTTTGGGTAACTCTTTATATTTTGAATCTCTTTTTTCTAAATTCAACAAATTTCCTTCCACATTTTCCATATTCGTCTTGTAGCGGTACTAATTTTTTTTACCTTAAGAAACACTGATTTTTGAGCGGTAACTTTTTAACTAAGAATGATATTACTAAAGTCAAATATTTTAGGTTATATTGTCATGAATATTTACTATGACAATATCATGACGGTTGCCTATTTATTTTTTATATTCACGATAATCTACGGTTTTTTTGAAATGTATACCATATTTCCGGACAGAGGGAGTATAATTTATTTTTAGATTCTTAATTTTATAATGTAAATTAGAAAATCGATTTAATAATATCAAATCACAGATCAATAGATGTTCAACTTATTGATTCTCAGATCAGTGAAAGTAAATTTGTAATTTCATGCTTCTTATAATTTGTTCTTTATTATTTAAACTTCTGGCGTTTGACAGAAATTTTTTAAAGAAATATTTAAATTTTTATTTTATTTGTATTTTTCATTTCGCACAAAAATATTTTTGATTTCCAGAGACATTATATTTGTTTATACTTTCATGAAATACGATGTTGAATTTGATATTTGCTAAAATATTATTTTGGATTTTAAATGACTGTTTTCAATAATTCAATATCGAATTTGAAATGCTCTTGTATTAAAGCACCCTAATTTTACACTCATATACTCTATCGGTTAAGGTTAAGTATATGCATTAAATATTGAGCAATAAAATTTTGTTAAAATATTTCTATAAAAACATTGTTATGTGGAGGGAGGATAACCACATAAAAAACTTTGTGCTTGGCAATGAGTGTGTGAAACTGGTGTGAGGATCATTGTTTGGATTTTTGGTGGGAATAAAACCCCACCTCATCTTCGGTTGTTCTTTGTGAGTTTGTATAAGGAAGAGAAGGTCTACGAAATGACGAAATTTTTCTACAAATTTATTTGTAGTTTTTTATATAACTAGATTGCAGGCCGCAGCAGAAAATGTAGGCAATTGACATGTAAAAGCGTGGAAACCTAGCATTGCTCACTCGGGTTAGAAGACTTATCGCCTGTGATATATAAAAATCAAAACCATTAAAAGCCGGGAGAGCTAAAAGGCAGGTTATAGCTGTTGGTATGACATTGCACTGTCTAGGTGGACCCCATGTAAGTCTATGAAATATATCTTAGCTAGAATTTTATCGGGTTCGGAAAGTGTAGAGTAAGTAGGAATGCTGCATAGTCTTGGGGGAGCCCAGGGGGGCTTCGGCCTTCGATCACACTCCATGCAACGGACAGTAACGAACTCCGGGCAACTGCCTCGCCTATTAATTAGGTTCTATACACCTGATAGATGAAAGGCTTTGGAACCTAGGTATCGCAGGGGTTACCGATGGAGTGTTGGGGTAGCAGTTATTTATGTTAAACCTAGAACTGCATTAATGTCATGAAAACAAATATAAACTTGCCACTATTTTAAAAAGATGTGATACTTTTAAATAAAAAAATTGTTTGATATTTTACAAACTTAGAAACAAATTTCTTATGCATTTATTATTTTTTAAAAAACTTTGAGAAAGTTCAATAAAAAATTTATAAATAGAAACAAACGTTAAGAAAAGGAGTCATTAGAAAATTTTTATTGAAATTATTATGTATCTAGATTAACGGTTCATTGATAAATCTGAAATAAATTTTTGTTGCATTGCGAATATCAATGGAAATTCAGAACATCGCTCTACTTTCCAGGAAATACAACTTATCAGAACATTGTTTAAATACGGTTTAATATCAATGGATCTTAAAGTCAGCTTGATAATTCAATATATCATTATGAGTCATACTGTGTTTCACTTTCCTTTAGATACATACTCTGTATTTAAAATAATGCTATTTGAATCCTTTTTGTTTCTCATTCATGTGATATTGATTAGTATATTTCCCAAAGATTTGTTTGTTTATGAATTTATCTTTCAGATTTAACAGGTTTTTATTATAACAATTCGAATATTTGAAAGGTAGTTTTGAACATTGGTAGTTATAAATTTAGCTTAAATTAGAATATAATCATTTTTTTAGTTTAGTTCTTTACCTATCTAGTTAGTGATTTCTTATAATTCTATATGATTATAATTATGTCCTGTTCACTGATTTATTGCTGCATATATTTTAGTTTATAAAGAGGCTTTTACATTTTTCTTTAATTTCGGAATAATTTAAGTTTTAAATCAAACATTATTTATCTATCAAAGTCTTCACAAATTTTCATTTTCATTTGTTTCTTTAGTTAATATTTTCAGCTTCATTGTTATCAATATTATTCTTTCATTTTAAGTTTTATTCTTTTTTATGTTTATAATCTAATTCTTTTTTTTAGTTTGAATTAAAAATTTGTTATATGACCAAGAAATTTCATTTTTCTTTGTCATTTCTGATATAAATTTCTTTGACGGGGAGGGGGCTATTTATATTTCAAAATTTCAACTTTAATTTCTTTTTTTTAAGATTTTTGGGCAATCATTAGTTCTTTAAACTAAAAACCATAGTATATCGACTTTCTATAAGTTTCAAATATCATTTACTATTTCTAAAAGTTCATAATAAACACTTATTTGAGCACAATGTCTATTCGGTTCGTAAGATAAATTCTATCTTAACCATACGACTGAATCTTTCGATTTCACACCATCACTCGATTTTTATTTCTACTTCGAATAGAAAACATAATTTCTGTTGTTCTGCACAAATATCCTACTTTCATTTTCTTCTCATACTTCGGTTCCAATGAGTTTTCATTAAAAATAAACCCCCCTCCCCACATTTATCTTTTATTTCTCTATAAAATTTTTTATACCGATGCACAGATCTATCTAATAAGCATCAGTTCCATTTTTCTATTCTGCTATTTCAGAAGAAAATATTGCTTCTGAATTTTTCATAATTTCTGGGTTTTTTCGCTCTATAAATACTTTTTTTTTGAACAAATTTGTTTCCGGATTAGGAAAATTTGTTTATTCAGACTATTCTATGATATTCTTAGATCTATTTATGGAAGGTGATATCAATTAAAACAATTTCTTCAATGAAATTGGTTGTGAATTGTATTGTTCTAGATTCAAATTACTTATTCTCTTAATAAATTGGTACAAAATTTGGAAATAGAACTGATTCTACACAAAGTTAATTTTTAGTTTATAAATGTTTAAAATGTAGAAACCACATTTTATAGAAATAAATTTCATACTTTATTTTAAATTTGATTAATTAAAAATTTTTACCTGCTATAAGGTTAATTATATTTTTTTGATTTAATTTCCATTGTGGAATAGTAAATGTATAAACAATAAAAAAATATTTAGAATGCTTCATTTCTTCTAATTAAAATTTTATACATAGATTTGTTTTAACTAAAGATGTATGAATATAAGTAAGTCATTTTAGATATGTGCTTTTTTTTTAAAAAAAAATTGCAAGATCTTAATATTTGTCTAAGAGATATTCAAACTTCATGTTTTAAACACTATTTTATCGAGTTATCACTTTATTATTTATCTTGGTTCTAAGTAATATCATGAAAGAGATTATTATTCATATTTAAACAAAAGAATGATATTTTTTTAGTAATTATACCATTCATTCGCAATTTATGCAGTGTATGTTTTAATATCAAGAAAATTTCATGGCAAATAGCAAATGTGAATAATTTCGCAATCATGATATAATATCTACTTTTGAAAGATACATTTTTATCTTTTGTTATTCCATTCGGAATAACTTGTTGTGTAAAAGAAAATAGAAGTTCCCTTAAGGAAGTATTTCACTACATCATGAATTTGGAATAATGTTGAGTAAGATGGATCTAAACTGCATGTAAATAATTGTTCAAGTAAATAAGTGTAGAGATTTTCAGGCAAAACTATTATTATTTAATAGCTCGCCTTTTCTCTACGAATGGAACACAATCCAACGATGAATTACAGCTTGGCAAAGTTATAGCCGGTCAAAGACATTTTTATTCTGATAGGTTAGGTTATCGGCCACACGCAAACATTTCTGAACGAAAGATAAAGAGTGCACCAACCGGAGATCAAACCGGCCTTTGGAAGCAAATTCCGATATCCTAACCACTTGACCATTGGCGCGAGGCAAAACTATATTTGACCTAATTTTTTTTTATCTAATTAATAATTGTACTTTGGTATAAGTTAAATCAAAACATTGATTAAGAATTTAAATTAGTAACATATTTTTAATTATTGCTTCGTGTTTTATCAAGAAAAATTAAAAAATATATACCTATCCTTTGAAAAATATTTTAAAAATTAGATTTCACAGTTCTCGAAAAAAAATAGAATCTGTAAGGCTCTTCTGAAAGAAACACGCAAAATCGATTTACCTATGTAACCCTATATTCGATATCTGCAAGTAATCTAAGAATAAATAGTTTTAAATTCTTTGCATTTCAATAATTTAACTTAAACTAAAGTGGTATACTTATATATAATAATAGCCAAGGCAAAAAATAATAACGATACAAAAAACTCAGTTATGAATATAATATAAAATGACAATATCAATGAAATATGATTCCAATATTATTTAAAAAAAAAAATATATCTCTATAAGATCTCTATGCAGTTGTAGATGTAAACCATTTTTTCGATAAAGATCTGCCATGAAGTGTGAGATTTAAGTGAATATTGGCCCTTGAAAGATTTCTACTTTTTAAAACTTAATATCGAAATTAGCATGTATTTTTATAAATTTCTAATCTTTTTGTTTTTATGTTTTAATGTATAGACATAAGTCGGCATTTAATAGTGTTAAGTATTCAAAAAAAATGCGAATTCAGCGGAATTACTTTATTTGTTAGTTCGCGAATATCAAACCAGCAAATCTCAAAATGAGCAATACAAAAGAATTAATGTATTTAAACATCATTGAATTCATATTAAAAATCTGAGCAGTTTTGGTTTCAATGCATTTAAAAATTTGAAAAATATGAGTAGGAATATAAATTAAGTTTTATTGCGATATTTTTGCACATAAAGACTTCGATTATATAATGAAGGCTGGGTGCCATTGTCGAGGAAAAATTTATTAATTTTAACATATATGAATTAAGTTGCACAATCTTAGAACAAAAATTCAAGATATTTAAATAAAGCGAGACTTCTCTTGTATCTTTCTCGACGCTTCGAAAAATTAAACGACATACACAAAGAAAAAGTGTTTTAAAATTTTGTAAAAGAAAAAAATGAACATATTTTTGTATTTATATATACAAAGACCTAAGAAATTCAAGAATTTATCTCGTTCAGTTATCAATGGTTTATTAAAAAATGATAAGAAGTAATTTAAAATGTTTTTACTAGATTTGTTGGGAAAAAAGCTCAAAACATTAATGTTATCATAATCAGATTTTAAGCTCTAAATTATGAATTATTTTGATCATGATATTCCTTATTTTTTGCCGTATTCATCATCACTGTTTATTTTACACTCAAAATAAAATACACAGATTCGTTAAGATCACTACAAAATATCAGAGTAACTTTATAATTCTGTCATATCGGTATTTTAATTTTCAGGAAATATTAAACACACTTTAAAATGTTTACCATAAAACCCAATTTATTTATGATGAACATCTATATATTTCCCATGATGTTTATACATTAATTAATTGCGTCTATTGCCATTAAAAGAAATCCTGTCTATTCAATCCGGTTATTATAACATTAAAAATACATAAGCTGTAATTAACCTTAATTAAGAAGCACTACCTTTTTAACCCATTCCGAGAAAAAGCATACACTCTTGTAGCTTTTACTTACATTAATTTTTCAAAAAATATCCATAGATTAAAAATTCTTTAATTTCAATTATTCGTGATTTTTGTATTTTTGAAGCATAAATTTATTTTATAATCTACCATTTGAAATATTTTATGATTGTTTTATTATGTCGCATAATATTTTATTAATAAATTTCGATGATAAAGATAAGATATAATTAAATACATGGCGGTTTTAATGGCGAAAAATGATTTTTTGAATTTAAATTGCGTTTTTTTCTTGCTTTTGAATGAGAATTCAAAAGTATACTCTAAATTGAACCATAAGTGCCAAAAATTACAAAAGAGTCAAATTCGATATGAAAGCTGATCAGTTTTAATAGAATGCAGTATTTGCGCTAAAAATATTCATATAAAAGCTTAATATGAAATTCATCATTGAGAAGTTAAATTTGAACTTTGCAACGAAATTTAAGGTAATAACTTATACCATTAACGAAACATAATATATATCTTAATCAATTTCTTCCGTATCTTCAAGTGAATTCGTTTTGTTACAAAAATAATTTTTTTCTAATAGGAAACTCTTATAATGTTATATGAAGCGAAACTTTAGCAGATTATAACAATACCAGAGATTTATATCACGTACTAACAATATATCACATTTTAAAAAACCAATGCCTTACTTTCGTGTCAAAGTGATTTTAAGCAATATGTTATTGGCGTAATTTGAATTGGATCGTGGTATGCCCCAAAAACGGCTGGATCGATATAGTCTCATGCAAATCGAAAAATCTTTTACCCTGTAAAAATATATGGGCTTTTTTATTAAAAATCTATATTAATTTTGAAAAATCAGGATAAGCTAAAAATTATCTAAATAACTTTAAATACATGTTATATAGTTGTTTTACGTATTTATTTCTGTTTTTTCACTTTCTTTTGCAATTGAAAGTTTTTTTCGGATTTTTTTTGCTCTTTGTACGTTTTTCTAACAAACACGCACTTTAAATTTTTATTCTGCGAGACATGGTTTAATCTGCTTTATGTTAAGTAATTTAATTCGTTCAATATAAAAGCTTATAAAGATTACAATGAAATAAAGATGATTTTATATATATTTCTGCGAAGTGTCTTTTTCGTAAGGTTTCATGTATTGTTTAAATATATAATTGGTTTTACTCCAAAATATTTAAAAAATAAAAATAAGTACATTTTATTTCCTAAGAATAATCTATTGGTTAATTTCATACTCGATTTATAGTTGATTGAAAATAAAGATTTTGAATTTCAAATAGATATACATTATGTTTTTAAAGTATATATGCCTGCAATACACGTTTGATAGATGGGTTAGAAAATATTTTATCATAATTATGGATTTGTCAAAAGTATTTTAGGCCGCAACTAATTAACTAACACAAATTTGATATAGAGACCTTTCGGAAAATATTTCACATATGTTTCGAAAAAAATTCAATTAATTTTTATGATTTACTATAAATTTATTTACTCTATAAAACTAACGTTTGGAAAATTACAATGATATGTAATTAATATACAATATTTTAATACTTAAAAAAATTTATACATAATTTCTTTTAATGTATTGTTCCTGTGAATAAAACATGTTTATTTTATAATAAATTTCAATCTAATATATTTTTACAACTTTGCGACAATATTTTAATCTTAAAAAGGTTAATAAAAAATTATGTTAACCTATTAATATCAATCACATAAATAAATATGCCTTTTTAATAAATTTTTCTGTTATATGTCATATTTTAAAAAGGCATAGTGCTTTATAAACACATTTTTGAAATAAAAATTGTTTAAACCGATTAAAATATAAAAATATAAACAAACATAGCTCCGCTTGTTTCAATAAATAAAAATGTGTAAAAATTCTTATGTTTTTTCACAGGACAAAAAATATAATTCGCAAATCTTATATAGTTTATAAAGATGTAAATCCTACAAATTTCTAAAAATCAGAGTTGACTGGTGAGTAATCTCAAGTTATATCAGGAGCGAAACTATAAATCCAATTAAATTATATTTTTGTGGATTATTGCAATCTAAACTCTGTTAAAATAAATATTTACGATTTATACCCTCAAGAAAAAAAAATTCATTAATTATTTCCATTCTCGTAGCAGATCCAAAATGTATTTAAAATGCTAAATAGTAAGTTTATTTTATATTTTAATTTATTACGTTTTAAATTTTTCACATCGGTTTCAATACCGTGATATATTTATACGCTAGTATTTAAATATAAACTGTAATTTTGGTATAGTAAGCTTTTATTTATTTTTTTGATTTATATGTATTAAATCTCTAATTATACTTCTTTGCCTACCTGTATTAAGATTAAATCATAGATTATAATTAAAGTATATAATTTAATATTATGGAAAAAAAACTTTAAACCCACAAACCAGCCTTCTTCTTAATCCTTTCGTGCTTTCAAGTCAAACTTAACTCCAATCTATCTGAATTTGGTTTAAACTTCCTGTCTTAATTTTTTTGTACTTGAAAAAAAGACTCAAGATTTTACAATGAACATGAAAAAAAATTTCTCTTTGAAATATCAATTTTTTTAACTTTGTCTTATATAATTTTTTCATAGATGCATAAGTTCTAAAGCAATTATACATCAACATTTTAACCCTTTATTAATATTTGAACATATTACAACTCAATATAATTTGTAAAACTACTGATTAAAATCTATATTTCTATGATTCCTATATAAACTTTTACAAAAACCAAGCTTTAGTTATTTTGCTATGAAATATATAAATCGAAGATTTTTTGCATCAGATTAGATTCTTTATTATAAGTTTAAGAATCTTAAACATATTGGAAATAATTTAAAATTGTGAATAATAATTGACAGCTAAAATAGCTATTTTTGATGAAAGTTAATTATTTGCTGCTTCTAGATAATATGAAGTATTTTCCATATATTGAATAGGATTGTTAACAAGCAGATATCTATCCCTATTTTTTCTTTCAAATTGTACAGAACTGTTTTTTGCTTTTTTATCATAATATACACCTCTTTTTACCTAAGACAAAACATAATCTACATAACAAATTTTGATTTAAAACTTTAACACCGAACTACTTAAAAATAAGTTTCTTTTAACATTTTACAATTAAATTAAGCAATAATGTGTTATTGCTCTGATTTTTTAAATAAAAAATTTTAGAATTTAAATAAATATAATAGAAAAAATATTTTATAGTGTAAATATTATACAGTGATAATTTTTATGGTTCATAAATATATTGAAAATAATCTTCATTAGTTCGTTTTATACTAAAATATGA